AACAGATTTTTTATTCACTTGATTTTTAGATTCACTTGTTGGTCGATATGTAGTTGTTGTTCATAATTTTTATCTTTACCTTTTTCTTCTTCTCCCTCTTCTATTTTTTAAATAAATGGCTTATTTTGGAATATTTTTATATTTATAGAAAACTTACAAATACCGAGTTCCCATGTACTCCTCACCTAGCTTCCCTAATGTTAGCTTCTCACGCTGCTGTGTAGCACTTGTCACAGTAACAGACCAACGAGACTATGAACTCATTTTTACACTAATGTTCTTTTTCTTTTTTCTGTTCCAGAATCCAGTGCAGGATATCATCGGGTCATCGCGTCTCCTTTGTAGTCTCTGCTCTGCCGCAGTTGGTCTTTCCGCCCCGCCTCCACAGTCTTGACAGTTTTGAGGAATACTAGTAGCTATTTTATAAAATAGAGATCTGTCTCAATTAATAATTCTAAGTCATGAAATTCTCATTTCAGAGGGGACCAAACTGTGTCTCAGGGAGGTCACGTTAGTTGCCTAAGGGGCACAGCAGGGATTTGAACCTGCGGCCTCCTAGCTCTGATCCCAAACAGGCAGCTTACATGTCTAGGCAGGGTTTGTAAATTCAGGGCTCCAATCGGTGCTATTTTACTCAACAAGTTGCTTAGGTTTTTTGAGTTAACGTTTCCTTGCAGAGAAATAGCGCTTCTGCTCAATTCCAGCTTAAATGCGGGGGCGTAGGGGGCGCGGGGCGGGGGTTCCTCCTATGTCCGCGATCACAGTCTGACTTCTGCAAGTACCTCGTTGCTGGCCCTTTAAGGCTCTCCCCCCACACTGGGAGAGAGGAGGCGGGATCTCGCGTCTCTAAAGAAACGCCTGTCTTTCAAAATTGACAGGCAAGTTCCGAAAAGTGACCAATAAATTCCCGTGTCGGGGTGAAGGGGGTGGAGCGGAGGAAGGAGTGAAGCTTCCGATTCGCTGGGGACCAATTTGGCCCCGCCCACTCCTTGGTACGTGAGGCAGCGCGAGATAGCTTCCTCGACTCTGATTGCAGAGGGAGCTTGAGTTGCGTCCCAGTGCCCCGCCCTCTTCCGCTCTTTGATTGGCTACGTTCCTGAGCGCGAGCCTCTTTCTCACCCTCTGATTGGCTGGATTTTTTCCGCTTCTGTGTTTTGGGCTGTAATGGACAGTTTTGGCTTTGGCCCCTAGCGGTGGCGGTTATCCGCTCGGGGACGGTCTCTTCCGCCTCCCTCAGATCGAAGCTGGGAGAGGACGGGGGCCCTGGGCGGGGCTGAGGGGGAGTCCCGCCCACGGAGCCCCATTGCCGTACCCCCGCCTTAGCCCCGACCCCCCCTTTCACCGCCCCTCACAGGCATCTTACTGTCATGGATGCGAGAGTTGGTCTTTAGGGCCTTCCCAGCCCTCAGGGCTCACAGATCCCCCCAAGGCCCCCTTCCTCCCACTTCCGGCCCCTCCTGGACACCCCGGGGCCCCGTGCGCTCCCCTGAGCCTTCCCCATTCTCTCAACCCTTCCAACTGGGATCCCCTGTCACCGCGCCCCCCGCCCCCGCCTTCCATCCAGCCTCCCGCCCGCTAGAGGGCCCTCCCCTCTCAGCCCCTCAGGGCCCAGGGGTCACCTTGAGACTTTGACCCAAGAGTTCTGCTTCTGCACCCCTTATTTCTAGCCCAGGCCCCTCAGATGACCCGGGGGAACCCTGCGGACTCCAAGGAGGGGTCCCATCCTTCCTGGAGTTTATGCCTCCCCGAACTCCCCCTCCCCTGGGGCCCCCCAACGTCTGGGCCCCTGAGGGTGAAGGTCAGGACCCCCCACCCTCAGTTCGGCCTCCCCACCTTCCCTAGTCTCCCTGCTCCTTGCTGGGAAGTCCTGGAACTGAGGGCCCCTGACTCTTTCAGGGGCTCCCAGGCATCCTTCAGTGTCCAGGGAAGGTGGTCTCCAGGGAAACCTCCACCTTCGGATCCATATCCCTTCCGCTTCCTCACCCCTTTCTTAGGGCCCACCCCCCACTGCCATTCTCCCCTTCCCTGCCCACCCCATAGGTGTTTTATGGACATTTTTGAAATTCAGGAAGCCTTCCTGAAGGCCCCCCTCCTCACTGCCAGCTCCTTCACATCCAGATGCCCCAGGGGGTCCTTCACAGGAAAGGGGGTCCCTCCTACCCTGTGAGCCCCACTCTGCCTACCTAGGGGCTCCCGGGTCACTTCCTCCTCCCTCCCCTGCTCAGGGCTTATCCTCAGGGCCTCTCCCCCCACCCTTGGGAATTGCCCCTCCCCCCCCTTTGACAGGCATTTGGGACCATCCTTTTCTTTTTATTTTTAATATGTATTGAATTTAGGCGACCCCTGTGAAAGGGTAAGGGGTCGAGACCCACAGGTTGAAAACGGTTGCTGTAAATGAAACCTGACCCTTTGAAGTGTCTATCTCTGCCTCACCTCAGGGCAATTTGTGTTAATAAAAAGCATGGGGTCCTGAGCCGAGGAGAACTTAGTTCCTTTGAGCTAAGCTCCTCTGACCCCCTAATGCCTTTCAAAATTATATTTCGTCTCTGGACTCTCAAGTTACACACAGCCCTTCTCCAGATTGCTGAACCCTTCTAGATGCTGGAGCAAGAACCCCGGCAATCACTGAAAAGGAGGTCAGTGTATTTTCTATTCATGTTATCTTTGGACGCAGTAAAACTCACTCCACATGGCGTACAGCTCCGAGTCTCGGCGAATGCATGCGGCGATGTGACCGTGACCACAAACAAGACGTGGAACATCCTGTCATCCCTCAGACACTCTTGCCCTGACCCTTTGTCAGAGTCACCCCTAAGAAGACCATTGGAAAGGTCAATATATTTTCTATTCATGTTACCTTTGGACGCAGTAAAATTCACTCCTCGTGGCGTACAGTTCCGAGTCTCGGCAAATGCATGCGGCGATGTGACCGTGACCACAAACAAGACGTGGAACATCCTGTCATCCCTCAGACACTCTTGCCCTGACCCTTTGTCAGAGTCACCCCTAAGAAGACACCCAGCATCTTTCTGGAAGACCTTCTGGCCTTGTCTAGCTAGGAATAAAGTAATAATGCATATGTTTGAAGACATTAACCTCTATTCCAATCAATAAAATTTTATTGATTTCAGAGAGGAAGGGACAGAAAGAAACATCAATGATGAGTGGGAATCATTGATCGGCTGGGTTGTGTGCTCTTGACCAGAAGCGAACCTGGGACCTTTCAGTCCGAAGACTGATACTCTATCCACTGAGCCAAACTGGCTAGGGCTAATCCCAAGTGCCTTTATCTAATTCAATTAC